CCAGTAAATGTAGGTAAGTGCTTCCCTGAGTTCTGTGACCTATTATAGCAAATGACTGAATTTGAGAAGGGGGTCATGGGAACCTCTGATTTATAGCTGGTTGGTCAGAAGTACAGGTGACAACCTGGGATTATGAACTGGCATCTGAGGTGGAAGGGACAGTCTTGTGGGACTGAGCTCTTAACTTGTCTGCACAAACTCCCGTTAGTGTCAAGACTGAATGGAATTGTAGGACACCCAACTGATGATGCTGAGAATTTCTTTGGTGTGAGGAAAAAACCCACACATCCCAGAAGTGTTGTGAGTGTGGTAGTAGCGTGAGAGTGAAAAAGAGACATGAGTGTTTTCCCCAGACATCTGGGATGGCCCACCCCTACGCAGGTCAAGCCTGGGCCAAGCCTTGGAGCAGGAAGCCTCTAGGTTACACCTTCCAGGGGACCCTGGCTCAGAGGGGCATCATGAGGTTTCCTTGAACCTTCCCTGCAGGACTCAAAGCAGCAAGTCACCTGTTGGACACACACTGGGACCCTGGAGAAGGACTATCCAAACTGCAGGCTGTGATTCATGGCCAATAGAATATTTTAAGGATTCTGAAAAGAATTGTGCATTTAAATAAATTAGAATGAAATAACTAGCACATCACAAACAGAATAGAAAATATTGTTGAATATCACACATATAAGGGTCAGTATTGTTCTGTGAAGCATTTGCTTTAGAGTCACTTGTAAAATGTGTTCTTTACTGTGGGTCTCGGTGAATAAAGCTCAGAACTGTTTTCTTGTGATGGATATACTGTTCTCTTTCACATGTCCTTGTGTTTTCCCAATTCTTTACTAGGAATAGGATTCATTGTTTTTGCCCACTCTGTGACTTGTGGGATCTTAGTTCCCTGACTAGGGATTGAACTCAGGAGAGTGGCAGTGAAAGCACAGAGTCCTAACCACTGGACTCCCAGGGAATTCCCAGAATTTTGCTTTATAATCTTAAAAATTATTGAAAGAGAAACAAGAAACACTGGAAGTAAAAAAAAAAAAACAGAAAGTCATTTTGGATGCTCATCAGAAGAGCACATGCACCCACATTGGACCCCAGGCTTGATTCGGTGTGCACTTGGGGCCACATACAGGCTGACCTCTGGCATCAGGCAAAACCATAGTCTCCCTGCATCTCAAAAACTGGATCTGTCAAAAGGAGGAGGAGGGGGGAGGAGGAAGAGAAGGAGGAAAAGGAGGGAGGGAAGGAGCTGTATCTACCCAGGGAACCTAAGGGAAAATGCTCATCATGACTCCGGAGTGCTTTCAAGCCACACTTCCCTGCACCTGTCTCCTCTGCTGGGAAATTCAGCTGGTTCATCCAATCTTCTTCAGGAGAAAGGAAAATCAAATCTTTCTATATCTCTTTTGGATGTCCTCTTCTGTATTTGCATGGACAATAAGGTACATGATGTTCATTAGCAGATTATTAAATTTGAGTAATGAAGAATGAAACTGGGGTAAAATAGAATTTATTTCTTCATACAGCAAAGGACTGCAGAATCCTGCTCCAGGACTGGGGGCTGTGGTACAGCATTCATCAAATTAGAAGCTAGCAAGTTTACCTGAGGCACAGGTAGAGTGACCTCACTGACCTGGGCAGCACCCACGTCTCCCTGCAGCATCAGGAAGGGTGTGCTGACAGTTCTAGGGGACCTCTTCCCCTAACCACCTGACCCCTCAAGGCTGTGATAACCCACACTTGGCCCTGGGTTTCCCTTGCCTCTCTGCTAGACCCTCTCCCACCCACCTGTGTATCTCTGCCCTTCCCTGCCCCCACTAGCACCAGGTCTGCCTCTCCCTCTGGGCATGCTCTGTCTCTAGGTTTTCTTGTCTTGGAAAAACAACTCCACATCCTCTACCCTAGATTTGAGGCAGAACTCAGAGCTCATTCGAGTCTCTCCACCCCCCAAATATGTACCTATCTTCCTTAGTGTCTCTGAAGTCACAGTGAGTTCTAAGTTCAGCTCTCCCTGCACGTGCCAGCTGGAGGGACTCTGGCATGAAGCTGGAGGTCTATTGGTGTTTCTGTCTCTCACTACCTCTCTCTCAAGCTATATGTAACATCTACAGTATCATAATGATGATAATGTCTGTCTGTGCACAGAGGTTTATTGTGGAGATTGATTGTGGAGGTTGATTGTGGGAAAATCCATACAAGATGCTTAGTATCACCCAAGGCACTTTGCAAGCCTAAGATGAATGTTAATTGCACTTTCAATGGTTATTACGGAAGGTGAGCTGAGAGGGGAAGACCCCAAGGGATCACACCTCCTTCCTTCTTGCAGACATTGTTCCTGGCCTGGGATGCAGACTCCTGGGCCTGGGACTTCTCTCACACAAAGGTATGACCTTGAATGACAAGACATTATTATTCTTGGAGGAGTAAGTGGGGACTCAGGTAAACCGGGAGGCCCTAGCCATACAGCCACTGCTAGGAGGGTCACCCCTGTGAGGAAGAGTGTGTCTCAGAACATGCTGGTCAGAGAGGGTTTATGTGGGTGTCCACATCTGTCCATACCCCCAGCCATGCTTCCTTTCCCACCTGTCTGTCATGGTCTATGCCACCTCTCAGGTCTAGAGCTCCTCAGTCTCCTAGGACAAGCTCCTTTTAGGCAGGGACCCCCACCCCCAAGGTCTTTAGGAGACCAGACCCAGGCCTAGCCTCAGGGCTGGTGTATGGACAGCAATCCTGTGACCCTGTAGCTGTCATAGAGTTTTGTAGGAGAGGGTAGAACCAATTCTGGCTGAGCAACCATGGCTCCAACCTGGAGTTACAGGGACCAGTCAGAGTCCAGGAGCCCATCCTCTGCTGATTTATGGTTTTTCCCATCTTTGATCCAAGTCTGTTGGGGTGAGGGGGACGAGTCCAGAGGTGGGATGAGGGCAGGGGTAGGGGAGATGACAGCTTCAGCAGGAGAGTGGAGACCTTCCAAGGCTGGATGAGAGCCAGGAGGCCAAGGTGATGGGCAGTGGATGGTCAAAATGGTGCAACACTGCCGCCATCTGGGGCTAGTGTTTGATGTCCCATGCAAGTCACCTTGGATTTCTGTTGGTAGCTTTAACGTCCCCCAACACACACAATGATTTGTTCTAAAATAGACTCTTCTCTTCCCTTCCCCAGAACTGACTGTTCCAGCTCTGTGGCCTGCAATGGTCCATCTGGGAGAGGACTGTCCCATTCTTAACACTTGACCCCCATCCCAGCTCCCAAGCCCTTGGACCCGAGTTGGGCAATTTCCTGCCTCTGTCCAGTGGACTTTTCCATCTTTTGCTCCCTTGAATCATGACTAAGTGAACTCTTCCATTCCTGTTCACCATGGGCCTGACACTGGACCTCTTCTTCCCTATTCCTCCATGTTCCCCAATTGACAGTTTCATCTGTCTCCTCCCACACACTTTCAAATGAACTGTCCCAGCCCTATGACCCTGAAGATCTTAGAGAGAGCGACAGCCAAGGTGTCCAACCACCTGCAGAATCCTGCTCCAGTACAGAGCAGGTACAGCATTCATCAAAATAAAAACTAGCAACAACCCCCGCTAGACTGGCACCTTCACGTGGGCAGGAACTGTTGTTTATCTTGTTCCCTGATGTCTCTCCAGGACCTAGAATGGCGCTCAGTACACAGTACAGACCCATTAAGTGTTGGATGAATGAACACTTTGACACAGCAATTCCATTTCTAGGAACATGTGCTAAAGAAACACTGATACAGGTGCACAGCGCTGTGTGCACAAGAGTGGGAAGAGCAAACAACTGGGAAAAACTTGTAAACGTTTATTGTCAGTGACTGATGCTGAGTGAACGAATAATGGAGGTTTGGAACACCTGATGAACAGGAAACAGAGTGAGACAGACTTGTTCAGGACATGCTGCTAATGGGGAAAAGCAGGTGAGAGATGCTCATATTGGTACCCTGTGTGTGTGTGTAAATACAGAAAAAAACGTTTGCAATAAAACACACAGAACTGCCCTCAGTAGTTACATCTGGAGAGGGGGAGGTTAGTGCTGTTCTGTACAAAGGATGTATGACAATATTTGTTTATTTTTAAGGTAGAGGCATGGATGTGTGTGCATGCTAAGTCACTTCAGTCGTGTCCAACTTTGTGTGATCCTATGAACTGTAGCCTGCCAGACTCCTCTGTCCATAAGATTCTCTAGGCAAGAATACTGGAGTGGGTTGCCAATGCCCTCCTCCAGGGGATTGCCCTGACCCAGGGATCAAACCTGCGTCTCATTTGGCAGGCAGATTCTTTACCACTAGCACCACCTGGGAAGCCCTAGAGGCATGGATACATAGACAGAAACACAGAAAACACAAGGTATATGTCTTGCTCATTAACACAACTTTAATAACGCTTGGCACACAGTAAGAAAAATCCTGTTAAACTGTTGTGAACTCCTTCTTTCACATGCTAGGAATTCAAAGCCATGCCCATATTCACGAATAGCCACCAAGTTCTGCTTCTTATCATGGGCACTTGTCACATCCTTGAGGCTGAGGCAAGGAAAGAGAAGGAAAATAAGTGACAACAAGTTCCCACTGACTGATAAATTACTATTCAGCTCCTCATTTTGAACTGCATGGCCCCTGTGCACTCCGATTCCATCCTGCCTTGTGGTCTATGTGCACCTTTCACTGCTCCTTAAGACCAACCTTCTCTACAGGCTGCAGCTACTCTGTCAACTGTCCAGTGAGTTTTTCGGCTAGAGGAAGGTGTGACCTACATGCTAGAAGCTGACCTGGGGTTTGGGAGCCCACAGCATCCTGGGGAGGGAAGATCTCTGGATATATAGAGCAGGAAGTAGAAAAAGCAAGGGAATCCTTCTCATTTAGCCTCAGAGCTGCACCCCCAAGGGACTGGGAGAAAGGAAAAAGTGACAAGATGGGATACAACTACCATATGAGAACAGTGCCTTTTGCAGGGATGTGGGGATGGAGAGAAAGGTCACTTACAGAGTTAGTCATCCTCCTCGGGATCACTGATCTCTTCATAGGCCACCGGATTTCTTTCTCGCAGTCTGTAGGCCCAAACATTAACCTTCTTTCTCTTGGATCCTGGAGAAGAGTTGGTAAATGGGGTTTGGGTGGGTTAGGGAGTGTCGGGTCTTGTTTTGTCAGATAAGGAGATGCCTTCTCCCTCCCAAGTGGCCACAGGACTTCTACATAGTCTGTTTTGCACACTTTCTGGCTCGAAGAGGCTGAGAGGTTAAACCCGCACCAAAACACACCAAATACACACCAAACGGCAGTTAAGAGTTTTAGCTTCTGGCTCCTTTCATCGTCAGGTTTAGTGTCCCAGTAAGCAAGTTTAGATTACTTACCACATTTATTCTGACCTTCTTTCACTCAGCAGATATGTTAAGGGCATACTGTGTATCAGGCTTTGAGCTGAGGGTGGGGATAAAACTCTGAGTAAGATGTGTTCCCAAGTTATCACAGATGGAATGACCTGAATTCCCCCACCAGGGATTGAACCCATGCTCCCTGCAGATAAGCGCAGTCTTAACCACTGGACTGCCAGCAAAGTCCCTTGAATTGAACACCTTTGAACAGCCTGCGAACTCCAATTCTTTATTTCCATTTTATGGACTAGGAATCTGGAGCTCAGAGAATTTGAAAGGCTTCTTCCAGTTACATGGCTTTCATATCGATGACAACTCAGATCTGTGGTTCTGTAAGTTAGCTTTTAAAAAAAAATTTGGCCATGCCAAGTGGTTTGTGGGATCTTAGTTCCTTGATCAGGGATCAAATCCAGGCCCCAGCAGTGAGGACCCTGGAAGTCAGCTCAAAAGTTTCAGCTGGAGCTGAGCAAGCTCTCAGCCCAGCCTGGCCCCAGGCCTGTCCAGGATACATCTCCTATGACTAACCCATTCACTTGAACATGGCCAGGGAAGACAGAGGAGTTGTTCCCAAACAAGTAAGAAAAGTTGTTTCTCTTACCTGATGTTTTCTTACTCTGTTGAGCAGAGGTACTTGCTTTGTCCAGGGGGCGCAGCTGTCTCTGCGCCTGCTCTGGGCCTGATGTTCCTGGTTCTAACTCCGAACGTTTTTTTTCCTTTACAGGCTTCTTGGGCGTCACCTTCTTAAAGTGAAAGTCACATAAAATCAGTATCCATTTTTCAAGCGCTTTAGAGCTTACAAAGTGTTTTCTTGTGCAGTACCTTAATTAACGTTCTCAACAAGTCTGGGGGATCATTATATTACCTGTACCTAAATTATGAATAATCTAGGAAATTAGAAGGAAATGGAATGGTCTAAATGAAGGGTGTTTCCAGGATTAGAATGCTTGTTTTCACGCTTTTTCCAGTCTGACACCCTCACCAAAAGAAATCTCCATGTGAGCAGGAGTGTGGTACATGGAAGACATGGGAAAGTAGAGCATTCTAACAGTCCATGAGGTCTGTGAAAATGAGGAGGGGCTTCTATAAAATCTAAGGGATTGAAGATAAGCTAGTTGACAGCTGTGGGAACAATGTACAGAGGGGACAAAACACTGCTGGCAAATGGTGTGGGAGAGATGAATATAGGGAAAGGAGAAGAGAGAATGGTTCACATAAATTCACGCAGACAGCCAAGAAAGTGATGCCAGATGTGACATCCTGTCCTACCTTGGCAAGAACATTTCACGTGGAACTAGGTGAGGTGGTTACTGTACGAATTCTACTTGTGTCAGGGTGTATCACTGACCAATGATCTTAAAGCTAACCTTCATTCAGCTCTTGTTTATAAAACTGTGAATGATAACTATATAATCAGCTCCCTCATTTATGTATCAGTGAACAACTGTAAAACAAGCTAAGTGAAAGAACTTTCTAAGGCTATAAATGCTGTTTAAATGTGATAATAATAAAAACAAACACTTTTATGATCCCTCTTTGAATTCTCTCTTCAACCATGTCCACAATGGTACTGGTAACCCAACCACCAGATCTCTTTACCCTCTAAACTATAGTTTAATCTGCAATTGCGGAAGAATTTATTCAATAAACCTCTAGGGGTCTTCCTGGGCTGGAACTGGGGCTTCAGAGATGCCTCAGGGGCAGACAAGCTCCCTAAGGAGCTCACAGAAGAGAGGGGCTGACAGTTCAAGTGATTCCCAAGCAACACGAAAGGGGCCCTGTTGTGAGAGTGGGTGTCTAAACAGAAGTGTCAGCAGCATCTGCAAAGTTTAGGGGAAATGCCTGAGCTTCAGAAACATGTGAAAAAGCTTATGAATTTGGAAATGGTTTGGGGCTTTGGATTAGACTACTACCACTGCCACTGTTGGGCTTCCCTGGTGGCTCAGATGGTAAAGAATTTGCCTGCAATGCAGGAGACCCAGGTTTGATCCCTGGGTCAGTAAGAGCCTCTGGAGAAGGGAACAGCCACTGTGGTCTCAAGCAGATTATTTAACGTCTCTGCACCACAGTATCTGCATTATTATGAGCAGCAGTATTTAATAATACTAATAATAACCTCATTATTTGAGGATAATAATAGCAGTAACATTATAGAAGTTTTAAGGGCTAAATACACTAATCCATGTGAACTGCCTAAAATAGTATCTGTCATCACTATGAAATCAAAAGAAGTAACAGCTATCACAATTGTTGTTAATTATTATTTAGCTCTTGGTACTACATCAGGAATTGTGATAAAGAGGTCAGGAAAGGGAGGCAGTGAGGGCCAGACTATCTTCCCAATTTTATCCCAATATTCACATCTACAGAGAGATAAACAGTCTCTGGCTCTTTGGATCTGGGAGGCACTCACCTTCTGGCGTTTTCTCAATTGCATGCTGGAAGTCCCTTGAGGAGATTCATCTAAAAGGAGGTGACAAGTCAGAAATTTGTTTTTGTTGTTGGTAAACATTCTCAAGTTGCAGAGGCTCCTGTACTATCAGGGATTTCTGCAGCAGAGGGTGAGGAGTCCACTCATCAAGGAGTTACTCTGAGACTAGCCTTTGAATAACAACGGTTTTGGTATTTATTTGCAGCATCAATTCAGAATTTTTCTTCTGATGGTTTATAAAATGCAAACTAAACCCCATCATTGCCTTATCCTATCCTATTATACATTTCTTACTTTTTTCGCCAAAGAAGTAAATTGATTGGTCTTTAGCCAAAAATCACTCTATACTTAAAATGGTGAATTTCATAGTGTGTCAATTACACCTTAATGAAACTGTTAAATGTGAAATGAACCATGGATGACTTAGTCCAGTGGTTATGGAATGTTTCCAGTATAAAGATACCTCTTTAATATCAAAAACTTTGTAGATACTCAAGCACTGGCTTTTTAGCCCCTTACAGTAATTCTGGGAGCTTGTGGAATCTGGTCTGTTAAACTAGATTCAAACAAAGGACTACTGGAGACAGTTTGAACATTCTCACCCTGTCTTCTCACAACTGTGCTGTTAGAGCAAAAGAGCAAATGAACACATCACATCCCCTTTTTAAGTACATACACTGCTCAGATGCACAAAGATTTCTAGAATCTGTCACTTTTTAAACCTTACATTGCCTCTGCTCATTGACCCGTAGGAAAGGTCAATGTGTGGAAGATTACTCTCAAAATCTCTTCCAAACTCAACACATAGAACCAGGTTCGATTAGGAGTGAGACAACGATTTGGTTTTGATAAAACACAAGCAAACAGCCATATGTCATTACATAACATGTTAATCATTTTCTTAAGATAGTTATCCAATACCTATGCACTATTATTTTGGAAGTTTTGAGTGGATTTACACTTTAAATTTTTCTTAATCATCCTGTGATTCATTAATGGTGCTTAGCAAGAACTAACTCTTTTAAAAAGAAATGTTTCAAACATGCATAAAGTTATGGACAATACTATTTGAAACACGCATCTACCACTGGGTCTAGCTGGATTTCAATATTATCTCACAACTACTTCAGATCGCTCTTAGCTCTTTATTCAAAATATAACAAAACACTATAAACAAGTCACAGCTAAAGCCATCAGTGTGGCCCTCACTGATCCCTACCCTCCTTCCTTTTCCACTTCTTCATTCCAGAGTTTGATGGGTTTTATTCTCATTTTCGTTTTTATACATTTACCAAATACTTTCTATCCATAAATATATATATATATATATATATATATTCTTGTTTTGCATGTTTTAGGGTTATATATGAATGGCCTCTGACTGTGCTTAACCTTCTGCATTCAATTTTTTTTTTCACTCAACCATGATGCTTTTGAGGGAACAAAGTCCTGAGAATCTTTCCCCATCTGGAACCCAGCATAAATGGGCTTCAGGAGACTCTTTCCTGTCACTTACCCTTTTCCTCACAATGCTTGGATTTTGTGGCTCCCTTTTTAGGACACATGAAAGCTGGTAGGGTACCCCTGAGACCTAGAATAACGCAAAATATTTGTTTCTTAACAGACAACCTGAGAGGAGGGGGAAATGCTGGGACACAGCACCAACAGTAAAGTTCATCAGCTGGGCAGGGGGAATCTGAACCACGGCCAGTGAGAGAGAAATGCATGGAATTCAGGTCTGAGCATTTCTGTGGCCACTCTCAGCCCACAGCCCTGCACAGGATTTAAAAGAGCAGAAGGCTTGAAAACTGCCCTGGGATTTCTTCCCACAGAAAAGAACAAATGCGGGACACTTGGCATAGCCTAAGAAGAATAAACCATGGCTTGTAAAGAGGAATCATCATTTATTCCCAGCCTTGTCTGGACCCAGAACATCCTATTACCTAGGCGAGTCATGGTTTCATAGTTTCTCTTCATATACACATAGCTGATTTTCTCCGAGTATCCCAAACGTGCCCACTCTTCCTTAGAGAAGTATTTGGAAATATCCTTGAAAGCCTAAAAAAGAAAGAAAAATAAATCCCAGCAATGACTCAGCTAAACATGTCTGACTTTCAGCCAGGAGCTCTTCCTTGGCTGCAGCGCCTCCATGTTAGATCTATAAAATGGAGCTAATAATCCCTCTCTAGTCATGGCTAACAGAGAAAATGGGTAACATTGCCTAGGCTCTTGTCTGGCATGTAGTAGGTGCTTAATGCTGGTGGCATGCTCTTCTCTCACCTTCCAGAATAGACTGAGAGCCATCCAATCCAGTGCCCCAAGGACACCAGGCAAGGACAGAGTGAGGGTCAGAAGCTCTGGATCTCCTCCTGCCATGCTGCTCTTGTTCCCAGTGCCTCTGACCCTCCCCCAACCCCCAATGCCCAGAAATCTAGTCACCATACATTGTCCCCTGGGCCACTCCTCTGCCCTCTCCAGATCAACTCACCTTGGGTTCCTTCTTTAATTTCTGCCTATCTCCTCTGGAGTTTTTGAAGACGCTGCCTATGTTCATGGCGCTTATCTAGAAGGAACACAGCCTGGGTCTCTCCAGACACAAGGCCAAAGGTTCTGTCAGGGGAGAAAGTGTTGAAGGAACTGCACACTCAGTTAGTCACCTGTAATTAAGGTTCTACTTTTCTCCATCCTTGGCTTATCTGTCCCTGAGGAAGGACATGAGGGTGGGGAAATCAGATGAGAACAGGAAGCTGGAGGTCTCTGAAAGAAGTAGTGATTAGGGATGACATGTTTTCTGTGTGCATGATCAAAGTAGTACTGAGTCTTTGAGGGAGGTTGGTTACTGTTGTTAGTAGCTTGCCTGGTTTGGCTTATTTTGAAGGAAAGATATAAGAAACTTGTTGGGGAAGTAGTGAAGTCAATGTATAGTATTATTGAGGGGGGCTGTTTTGAGGCAAAAGAGGACAGGGGAGGTGAGTCCCAGAGATCATATGGTGTCTCTGATTGAAAGGTTTCAGTTTTCAGGCAGAGGGATGTGGGATTTTTCTCTGTTGAAAAGAAATGAAGATCACTAATATGAGTAAATTTAAAGTGTATTACTAGGCCCAAATCAATAAAATCAGAAATGAAGAAGGAGAAGTTACAACCAACACCACATAAATACAAAGGATCATAAAAGATTACCTAGAGATGGCATTTTCCACAGAACTAGAAAAAATAATTTTAAATTTTGTGTGGAAACCCCGCCAGTCAGAATGGCTGCTATGCCAGTCAGAATGGCTGCTATCCAAAAGTCTACAAGCAATAAATGCTGGAGAGGGTGTGGAGAAAGGGGAACCCTCTTACATTGTTGGTGAGAACACAAACTAGTACGGCCGCTATGGAGAACAGTGTGGAGATTTCTTAAAAAACTGGAAATAGAACTGCCATATGACTCCGGAATCACACTCCTGGGCATACACACCAAGGAAACCAGAACTGAAAGAGACACGTGCACCCCAATGTTCATTGCAGCACTGTTTATAATAGCCAGGACATGGAAGCAACCTAGATGCCCATCAGCAGATGAATGAATAAGAAAGCTGTGGTACATATACACCATGGAATATTACTCAGTCATTAAAAAGAATTCATTTGAATCAGTTCTAATGAGATGGATGAAACTGGAGCCCATTATACAGAGTGAAGCAAGCCAGAAAGAAAAACACCAATACAGTATACTAACGCATATATATGGAATTTATAAAGATGGTAACGATAACCCTATATGCAAGACAGAAAAAGAGACACAGATGTACAGAACAGACTTTTGGACTCTGTGGGAGAAGGCGAGGGTGGGATGATCTGAGAGAACAGCATCGAAACATGTATATTATCAAGTGTGAAACAGATTGCCAGTCCAGGTTGGATGCATGAGACAAGCGCTTGGGGCTGGTGCACTGGGATGACCCAGAGGGATGGGATGGGGAGGGAGGTGGGAGGGGGGTTCAGGATGGGGAACACATGTAAATCCATGGCTGATTCATGTCAATGTATGGCAAAAACCACTACAATATTGTAAAGTAATTAGCCTCCAACTAATAAAAATAATTGGGAAAAAATAAATAAATTTTGTGTGGAAACCCAAAAGACTCCAAATAGCCAAAATAATCTTGAGAAACAAGAACAGAGCTGGAGGTATCACACTCACAAACTAGTAGCCGAAGGTGTCTTCAGACTATACTACAAAGCTACAATAATCAAAACAATATCACACTTGATAATATACATGTTTCAATGCTATTCTCTCAGATCATCCCACTCTAGCCTTCTCCCATAATTAGGTACCATTTTTTCTTTTTGTTTAGTTTGCTTTAAGAGACAGGTACAAAAATTATTGCTACAATATATGTCAAAGAGTGTTCTGTCTGTGTTTTCTTCTAGGAGTTTTATGGTCTTATATTTAGGTCTTTAATCCATTTTGAGTTTATTTTTTATATGGTGTAAGAAAAAGCTTTTGCACAGCAAAGGAAACCACCGACAAAACAAAAAGACAACCTACTGAAAGAGAGAAATATTTTCAAATGATATGACTGATAAAGGGTTAATTTCTAAATTATATAAATAGCTTATAAAAATATTAAAAAACCAAAGAACCCTATTTAAAAATGGGCAGAATAACTGAATAGGCATTTTTCTGAAGAAGACATGCAAACGGCCAAGTCAATGAAAAGATGCCCAATATTGCTAATCATCACAGAAATGCAAATCAAAACCACAATGAGAGGGACTTCCCTGGTGGTCCAGCAGCTAAGACTCCATGCACTCAATGCAGGGGGTCTGGGTTTAGTCTCTAGTCAGGGAACTAGATCTCCCATGCTGCAACTAAGAGTTCACATGGCTCAACTAAGAATTCACATGCCACAACTAAGAGTACACATATGGCAACTAAAAAGATTTTGCATGCCTTAACTAAATATTCTGCATGCAGCATTGAGGCCTGAAGATCCCATGTACCACAACTAAGACCCAGTGCAGCCAAATAAATAAATATTTAAAAAACCCAACACTATGAGATATCACCTCACACCTCCCAGAATGGCTATCATCAAAAAGACCACAAACCACAAACACTGGGGGAGGATGTGGAAAAAGGGTACTTTTATATATTGTTGGTGGGAATGTAAATTGGTTTAGCCACTGTGGAAAACAGTGTGAAGGTACATCAAAAAACTATAAATAGAAGTACAACAGATGCAGTAATTCCATTCCTGGGTATATAACCAAAACAAAACAAAAGCATTAATTTGAAAAGATACACATAGCCTAATATGCACAGCAGCATTATTTATACTAGCCAAGATATAGAAAGTAACTTAAGTATCTATAAACAGATAACGGATGAAGCTGTGGTGTGTGTATATATATATATGCATGTGTGTGTGTGTGTGAGTGACACACAAGGGAATACTACTCAGTCATAAAAAGAATAAAATTTTGTCATTTGCAACATGAATGGACTTGGAGTATATTATGCTAGTGAAATAAATCAGACAGAAGAAGACAAATACCGTATGTTATTACTTATATGCAGAATTTTAAAGAAACCAACAAAGAAATAAGCATGTAAATAAGCAATAAGGACATATTGTACAATACAAAAAACATCATTATTTTGTAATAACATTAAAGGAAGTATAATCTATAAATACACTGAATCAATTTGTTATATGTGTGAAATTAATATATTATAAATCAACTATATCCTGATTTTTAAAAGGCTATTACTACCTTTTTGAAAATCATTAAAGTGAAGAGAGCTGGCATCTCTAACACTACAGGATCACCCATCACTCAGGCTGAGAATGTGGGAAGTTTCAATGAAGCAATCTGGTGTCCTCCAAACCGATAGCACTGGGAATTTCTCTGGGGGAGGAGAGAGCTTTGGGAGTTTCTCTCGGGGAAGGGAGAGTCTGAGGCCAAGAACATTGATTCTTTATACCAGAGGAGGCAATAAAAGAGTCCCTTAGGCAACCTCTCTGGTTGAGGAAATATAGGGGCTTCTGGCTCATTTGTGGGTTTCTCGGACTGAGGGGAGTCTTGCTTCCCTCAGGGAGAACAATTAGGAAGTCTCACAGACCGAAGATAATTATAGTTTTATGTCTGCCTGACGGGGATCACCCCGAAAGGCTTTAAGTCGTCTCTCAGTCATAACGATTTTGAGGATGTTAGGAGGTACAGAAAATATTCAGTTGCTTGAATTATCGACAGTAGCTCCCAGTTTTTTTACTTGCTCCCCTTAACCTGACTAGAGAGACCCTCAGAGAGGGCTTACCTCAGAGGTGAAGTGGCGACAAAGTGCCGCTCGATATCGGGACGAAATCCCACAATTCAACCGACCAAGGACAACCAACCAATCAGAACAGTAAGCAAACTTGATCTGGCTAATCAGAGATCAGGAGAGTGGGCGGGGTAAGAGAGGCAGGAATGGGGTCACCTAACAGTCAATTCTCCAGAGATAGGAGCGCCTATTCAAAGTGGGTGGAAACTTGAAGTTTCCTGCTTGAAGCAGGATTGGCTCCCGCCAAAATTGGCCACTGCCGGTTGGTTACGTAGGTCCATTAGCACGCATGCTCAGATGTTGGCCACTGCAGCTTCCCTAGGCCCATTAGCACGCATGCTCAGACGTTACTTTTCCATTCAGATTACCTCTTTCTACCCTCTGCTGTGTGTTTGTTGTTTGGTTTTAATAAATGGTACATCTAGCTTCTTTGGTAGCTCATATGGTAAACTATCAGCCTGTAATGCAGGAGACCCGTGTTCGATCCCTGGGTCGGGAAGCTCCCCTGGAGAAGGGAATGGCAACCCACTGCAGTATTCTTGCCTGGAGAACCCCGTGGATCGACCCCATGGTCGCAAAGAGTCAGACACGACTGAGCAACTAACACTTTCATTTTCAAATGGTATATCCTAGGCAGGCTGCCATCTCAAATCCTTCCCATCAGTCTCCAACTTCCTCAGTCTTTCTTAGGGCCTCATATGGCCTTTCTAATAACTTAAGAATTTTAAACTTAAAAGAAAAACCACAACTTGTTTTTAAAAAAATGTACACCCATGGCGGATTCATGTCAATGTATGGCAAAACCAATACATATTGTAAAGTAAAATAAATAAATAAATAAACTGAAAAAATAAATAAATAAACTTAAAAAAAACTTTTAAATATGTGCTTTTTCTGGAAGATCCAATAACCAGAAACATGCATTACCCAATACTAATATTTGCAACAGCAGTATTAGAAAGAATATCCATGTAATTAGGGCTTTCTGTGTCCCTCAGGGGGCTCAGAAGTCACTTTTTCTAAAGTCTTTCCTACACACTCCTCCCCCACAATAGGTCACCAATACCCCTTGGGCTTTTGATCACATCTCTGGTCTAAGTTCCTTGTCCTTCTTAGGGCAAGGAGAACAGGGCAGTAACCCATGTGCTAAACACAAAGCCATTTATGTGCATCATCCCCTTTAATTTTCATCCCCTTGAGTTAAGTACTGTTATCATTTCATTTGTGCAGATGCTAAGACTGAGGTGCAGAGAGTTAAGCAACTTGGTTACATAATCAGTAGGTAGCAGGGCTGGAGTTCACCCCAAGTTGAATTGAGTCCAAAGCCTGTGCTTTTACTTACCGTTCTGTTGTTCAGTCCCTCAATCAACAGTGTCCGACTCTTTGTGACCCCATGGACTGCAGCAAGCCAGGCTTCCCTGTCCCTCACCATCTCCCCAAGTGCACTCAAACTAATGTCCATTGAGTCTGTGATGCCATCCAACCATCTCATCCTCTGTCATCCCCTTCTCCTCCTGTCTACAATCTTTTCCAGCATCAGGATCTTTTCCAGACAGTCAACTCTTTACATCAGGTGGCCAAAGTATTCTTTCCAGTGAATAGTCAGAGTTGATTTCCTTTAGGATTGACTGGTTTGATCTCCTTGCTGTCCAAGGGACTCTAAGAGTTTTCTCCAGCACCACAGTTTAATAGCATCAATTCTTTGGCATTCAGCTTTCTTTATGGTCCAAATCTCACATCCATATATGACTACTGGGAAAACAATAGCTTTGACTAGATGGACTGTTGTCGGCAAAGTGATGTCTCTGCTTCTTAAAATGCTATCTAGGTTTGTTATAGCTTTCCTTCCAAGGAGTAAGCGTCTTTTAATTTCATGGCTACAGTCACAGTCCGCAGTAATTTTGGACCCCAAGAAAATATAGTCTGTCACTGTTTCCATTTCCCACCCCCCCTCCCATCTGTTTGCTGTGAAGTGATGGGACTGGATGCCATGATCTTGGTTTTTTGAATGTTGAGTTTTAAGCCAGCTTTTTCGCTCTCTTCTTTCACCCTCATCAAAAGGCTCTTTAGTTCCTCTTCACTTTCTGCCATGAGGGTGGTGTCATCTGCATATCTGAGGTTATTGATATTTCTCCCAGCAAGCTTGACTCCAGCCTGAGCTTCATCCAGCCCAGCGTTTCACATGATGTACTCTGCATATAAGTTAAATAAGCAAGGTGACAATATACAACCTTGACATATTCCTTTTCCAATTTTGAAGTAGTCTGTTGTTTCGTGTCTGGTTCTAACTGTTGCTTCTTGATCTGCATACAGGTTTCTCAGGAAGTAGGTAAGGTGGCTTGGTATTCCCATCACTTTAAGAATTTTCCACAGTTTGTTGTGATCCACACAGTCAAAGGCTTCAGTGTAGTCAATGAAGTATTTCAAGTTTTTCTTGAATTCCCTTGTTTTTTTTTTCTTTTTCATTTATTTTTATTAGTTGGAGGCTAATTACTTTACAATATTGTATTGGTTTTTGCCATACATTGACATGAATCAGCCACCTCCCACCTCCCTCTCCATCCCATCCCTCTGGGTCTTCCCAGTGCACCAGCCCTGAGCACTTGTCTCATGCATCCAACCTGGGCTGGCAATCTGTTTCACACTTGAAAATATACATGTTTCGATGCTATTCTCTCAGATCATCCCACCCTCTCCCACAGAAAGCCTTCTCCCACAGAGTTCAAAAGTCTGTTCTATACATCCGTGTCTCTTTTGTTGATAATTTGATATGTAGTTCCTTTCTACCTTTTGTCTAAAAGTATCTGGAACCCATGTCTAAACCCTAATACAATCACAAACAGGGCCAGTGACATTGCCTTTAAGCACCTGTTGTTGTCATATCTTGGGACTCCAGCAGGACCCAGACTAAGGTCACTGCTAAGGTCACCAGTGTATCATTTACTTCCAGCCTTGAATGAAACAAGTCACTGCATACCACTCCCAGATATGTGACATCAACCACCTGGGAGGCAGCGAGGGATGAGGAATCTGCTCAGCCCTCCACACTCTTCATGCTGCAGGGTTTTGTAATGAAGATTTTTTCTTTCTTGATAACAGTAACTTTTCTGCTTTTGCAAAACAAACATTTTTAAGTTTCTCTTGTATAATTAACTAGATTTTATTTAGAGGATAATTGTAATTCGTGTTTCTTAGTTAGAAAAAATTTTTCTGTAGCCTTTTATTTCCTACTGTTTTAGCAAGTTATCTAGACATAATAAATAAACATTGGCCACACTAGCATCCAGGACAAATTTTACCTTCTATTAAACTGAAATTAAATAAAATAAAAGAAATTAAATAAAATAAAAGAAACTCCTCAATTCTTAGACTGAATAAGCTCACAACCACGAGCTCAGGTGAACCCTCCCATCCTTCAGCACATCACATCCAGGGAATCCAGTAGTCAGGGATATTTGTGATCAAGACTTTTGAGACATTTACTGCAGAAGGAAACTGGAGCATAGAATCACAGAGAACCCCTCTCCCAGGTCCAGCACTTTCACTCTGAGCTTGCACATGAGATAATGAATGAGATTTGTAATCCAAAGGGAGTGGGGGTGGGAACTAGGAATGAGGAAGAAGTAATACTTCTCTGAGTATAGGTTTTTGTGAAGCTTTGACTCTTAGAACCATACTCATGTTTCACAGACTCTAGGAAAAAAATAAGGAAAGTAAGAAAGTGGTTGCAAACTAAATGCATTGAAATAAACTAGCAGACTTCCCTGACAGTCTGGTGGTTAAGACTCCATGCTCCCAATGTAGGAGGTGTGGGTTTGATCCCCGGTCAGGGAATTAAGATCCTACACACTGCAGGGCAAAAAGAAAAACAAAAAACAAACTCCTAGGATGACAGGGGAACCCCAAATGGGATATAAACAGAAATAATGGAACCTAACTGTATTGTGCTGTGTTAAGTTGCTTCAGTCAAGTCTAACTCTGTGTGACCCTATGGACTGTAGCCCACCAAGCTCCTCTGTCCATGGGGATTCTCCAGGCAAGAATACTGGAGCGCGATGCCATGCTCTCCTCCAGGGGATCATACGACCCAGGGATCGAACCTATTGTGTCTCCTGCATTGGCAAGTGGGTTATTTACCACTAGCACCGCCTACAAATGAATAATAATACCACACTGAAGGGCATGGGGAAGAAAATAACTAACCTAAGTAGATTTGAGAAACAATATTTATTTTGACCAGATACTATAGGCTCAAAGCAAAAAAAAATGTACACAAATGTAGTTTAGTTAATAAATTTGTTTTTACATAGCAGTACTTTAGGAATTCTGAAAATACTTTACATAAAGATTTGAGAAAACAAATAAATCGTAGATAATAAGGGTCATGTTTCTCATTGTCAGAGAAACGCATTTCAAATGTGGGAAAGAGATAAAGCTACAATAAACACTGTGGTCTTGGATTGGACTCAGAGATACGAGTATGAATCCAAGGGACAGTCTACAAAACAACCTGCCCAAGTTTGACAAAAATGTCAATGTCATAAAAGTTGAAGAAAGGCAAAGCCACAGTCATCAAGACAGTATGGTACTAGCACAAAGACAGAAATATAGACCAATGGAACAGAATAGAAAGCGCAGAGATAAATCCACGAACCTATGGTCACCTTATCTTCGACAAAGGAGGCAAGGATATACAATGGAAAAAAGACAACCTCTTTAACAAGTGGTGCTGGGAAAACTGGTCAACCACCTGTAAAAGAATGAAACTAGAACACTTTCTAACACCATACACAAAAATAAACTCAAAATGGATTAAAGATCTAAATGTAAGACCAGAAACTATAAAACTCCTAGAGGAGAACATAGGCAAAACACTCTCCGACATAAATCACAGCAGGATCCTCTATGACCCACATCCCAGAATATTAGAAATAAAAGCAAAAATAAACAAATGGGACCTAATGAAACTTAAAAGCTTTTGCACAACAAAGGAAACTATAAGCAAGGTGAAAAGACAGCCCTCAGATTGGGAGAAAATAATAGCAAACGAAGCAACAGACAAAGGATTAATCTCAAAAATATACAAGCAACTCCTCCAGCTCAACTCCAGAAAAATAAATGACCCAATCAAAAAATGGGCCAAAGAACTCAACAGACATTTCTCCAAGGAAGACATACAGATGGCTAACAAACACATGAAAAGATGCTCAACATCA